CCCCCAGCCCCCTCTCAGCCCCCCCCGACCGAGGAGCTCCCCCAAAACAAGCAGGAGGTGAGGGGGGGCTCCCCAAAATGGGTCTGGGGGGAGCCCTGCACACCTGAGGAGCAGCGGGAGGAGACCCCGGGGCTGGGGGGAGTTTTGGGGGTGTTGTGGGGAATTTGGGGGGGCTGTGGGGCAGGTTTTGGGGTGCTGGAGGTGGGATTTGGGGAGGGTCCCAGGCAGGTTTTGGGGTGAGGGGCCAGTTTTAGGGTGATCTCCATGGCAGGAGAAGGAGCTGGGTAACGAGGGGAGGATCTGGGTGTGAAATTTGGGGGTGTCCCAGCCCGGTTTTTGGGGTCCCCCTCAGTCACAGACAGAGAAGGAGCTGGATCATGGTGGGAAGATCTGGGTGTGAAATTTGGGGGTGTCCCAGCCCAGTTTTTGGGGTCCCCCTCAGGCACAGCAGGAGAAGGAGCTGGGTCACAGGGGGAGGATCTGGGTGTGAAATTTGGGGGTGTCCCAGCCGTTTTTGGGGTGTCCCCCTGCATCAGTCACTGGAGTAGAAGGAGGGGCGTCATTGGGGGGTCTAGAGGATAAATTTGGGGGTGTCCCAGCCCGGTTTTTGGGGTCCCCCTCAGTCACAGACAGAGAAGGAGCTGGATCATGGTGGGAAGATCTGGGTGTGAAATTTGGGGGTGTCCCAGCCCAGTTTTTGGGGTCCCCCTCAGGCACAGCAGGAGAAGGAGCTGGGTCACAGGGGGAGGATCTGGGTGTGAAATTTGGGGGTGTCCCAGCCGTTTTTGGGGTGTCCCCCTGCATCAGTCACTGGAGTACAGGGAGCTGCGTCATTGGGGGGTCTAGAGGATAAATTTGGGGGTGTCCCAGCCCGGTTTTTGGGGTCCCCCTCAGTCACAGGAGAAGGAGCTGGGTAACGAGGGGAGGATCTGGGTGTGAAATTTGGGGGATTCCAGCCCGGGTTTTGGGGTCCCCCTCAGTCACAGACAGAGAAGGAGCTGGATCATGGTGGGAAGATCTGGGTGTGAAATTTGGGGGTGTCCCAGCCCGGTTTTTGGGGTTCCCCTTCAGGCACAGCGGGAGAAGGAGCTGGGTCACAGGGGGAGGATCTGGGTGTGAAATTTGGGGGGATTCCAGCTGTTTTTGGGGTTCCCCCTCAGTCACGGGAGGAGAAGGAGCTGGGTCACAGGGGGAGGATCTGGGTGTGAAATTTGGGGGTGTCCCAGCCCGGTTTTTGGGGTTCCCCCTCAGTCACAGACAGAGAAGGAGCTGGATCATGGTGGGAAGATCTGGCTGTGAAATTTGGGGGTGTCCCAGCCCGGTTTTTGGGGTTCCCCCTCAGTCACAGACAGAGAAGGAGCTGGATCATGGTGGGAAGATCTGGCTGTGAAATTTGGGGGTGTCCCAGCCCGGTTTTTGGGGTTCCCCCTCAGTCACAGACAGAGAAGGAGCTGGATCATGGTGGGAAGATCTGGCTGTGAAATTTGGGGGTGTCCCAGCCCGGTTTTTGGGGTTCCCCCTCAGTCACAGACAGAGAAGGAGCTGGATCATGGTGGGAAGATCTGGCTGTGAAATTTGGGGGTGTCCCAGCCCGGTTTTTGGGGTTCCCCCTCAGTCACAGACAGAGAAGGAGCTGGATCATGGTGGGAAGATCTGGCTGTGAAATTTGGGGGTGTCCCAGCCGATTTTGGGATCCCCCCTCAGTCACAGAAGGAGAAGGAGCTGGGTAACGAGGGGAGGATCTGGCTGTGAAATTTGGGGGTGTCCCAGCCCGGTTTTTGGGGTCCCCCCAGGCCCAGAAGGAGAAGGAGCTGGGTCATGGGGGGAGGATCTGGGTGTGAAATTTGGGGGATTCCAGCCCGGGTTTTGGGGTCCCCCTCAGTCACAGACAGAGAAGGAGCTGGATCATGGTGGGAAGATCTGGGTGTGAAATTTGGGGGATTCCAGCCCGGGTTTTGGGGTCCCCCTCAGTCACAGACAGAGAAGGAGCTGGGTCATGGGGGGAGGATCTGGGTGTGAAATTTGGGGGTGTCCCAGCCGTTTTTGGGGTGCCCCCCTACATTAGTCACTGGAGTACAGGGAGCTGTGCCATTGGGGGGTTTAGAGGGTAAATTTGGGGGTGTCCCAGCCCGGTTTTTGGGGTTCCCCCTCAGTCACAGACAGAGAAGGAGCTGGATCATGGTGGGAAGATCTGGCTGTGAAATTTGGGGGTGTCCCAGCCGATTTTGGGATCCCCCCTCAGTCACAGAAGGAGAAGGAGCTGGGTAACGAGGGGAGGATCTGGCTGTGAAATTTGGGGGTGTCCCAGCCCGGTTTTTGGGGTTCCCCCAGGCCCAGAAGGAGAAGGAGCTGGGGTCACGGGGGGAGGATCTGGGTGTGAAATTTGGGGGTGTCCCAGCCCGGTTTTTGGGGTCCCCCCAGGCCCAGAAGGAGAAGGAGCTGGGCAATGCCGCCTACAAGCGCAAGGAGTTCCCGGCGGCGCTGGAGCACTACACCCGCGCCGAGCAGCTGGACCCCACCAACATGACCTACGTCACCAACCAAGCAGGTCTGTCACCCAAAAACCCCCCAAACCCACCCCCCCGAACCCCAAAACCCCCCCTGAACCCCAAATTTCCCCCCCCACCGCAGCCGTGTACTTCGAGACGGGCGAGTACGAGCGGTGCCGGGCGCTGTGCGAGCGCGCCATCGAGGTGGGCCGGGAGAACCGTGAGGATTACAGGCAGATTGCCAAGTGAGTTTGGGGTGGGGGGGGGCTTTGGGGTGTCTGGGGGCGTCTCTGCTGTCCCCCCAAAGCGTTCCTGTCCCCCCCTAAACTGTTCCTGTCCCCCCTAAACTGTCCCTGTCCCCCCAGGGCGTACGCGCGGATCGGGAACTCGTATTTCCGCGAGGAGCGCTACAAGGACGCCGTGCACTTCTACAACAAATCCCTGGCCGAGCACCGCACGCCCGACGTGCTCAAGAAGTGTCAGCAGGTGACGTGGGGGACAAGGGGACGCTGGGTGTGACGCCCCCCGACCCCCCCCTGAACCCCCCCAATCTCTGCTGCAGGCTGAGAAGATCCTGAAGGAGCAGGAGCGCTTGGCCTACATCGACCCCGACCTGGCGCTGGAGGAGAAGAACAAAGGCAACGAGTGCTTCCAGCGAGGTCTGGGGGGGCTCTGAGGGGTCTGGGGGGGCTCTGGGGGGAGCTTTGAGGGGTTTGGGGCACCCCCTGAGAGTGAGGAGGGGGTCTTTTTTAGGGGATTACCCCCAGGCCATGAAGCACTACAGCGAGGCCATCCGGCGCAACCCGCACGAGGCGCGGCTCTACAGCAACCGCGCCGCCTGCTACACCAAACTGCTCGAGTTCCCCCTCGCCCTCAAGGTCTGGGGCTGGGCTTGGGGGGTCCTGGGGGATAGTTTGGGGGTCGTGGGGGTTGCTTTGGGGGGTTTGGGACTGGTTTGGAGGGTCTGGGGCATTTGGGATTGGTTTGGAGGGTCCTGGGAGTTGGTTTGGGGGGGATTTGGGATTAGTTTTGAGGGTCTTGGGATGGTTTGAAGGCTTTGGGATTGGTTTGGAGGGTCCTGGGAGTTGGTTTGGGGTTGGTTTTGAGGGTCTTGGGGGGGTTTGGGGGGTTTGGGACAGGTTTGGTGGGTCCTGGGAGTTGGTTTGGGGTTGGTTTTGAGGGTCTTGGGATGGTTTGAAGGCTTTGGGATTGGTTTGGAGGGTCCTGGGGGACTGTTTGGGGTTGGTTTTGAGGGTCTTGGGGTGGTTTGGGGGGTTTGGGACAGGTTTGGAGGGTCCTGGGGGATGGTTTGGGGCGTTTAGGATTGGTTTTGAGGGTCTTGGGAGTTGGTTTGGGGGGTTTAGGATTGGTTTTGAGGGTCTTGGGGTGGTTTGAAGGGTGTAAGAGGGTCCTCAAGGTTGGTTTGGGGGTCTGGGGGCTGAATTGGGACTGGTTTGAGGGTCTTGGGCTGGTTTGAGGGTTGGGGACCAGTTTGGGGAAGGACTTAGGGTTGGTCTGAGAGTCTTGGGGTGCTTTGGGGGCACAGAGGGCACTGGGGGGGCTGGGTTTGGGGACAAGGGACACTGGGGGGCTCTGGGACCCCCCTGACCCCCCCTTTGTCCCCCCCCAGGACTGTGAGGAGTGCATCCGCCTGGAGCCCACCTTCAGTGAGTGGGGGACACCAGGGGACAGGAGGGGACAGGCCCTGCCCTTCCTCTGCTTCACCCTCATCATCCTCACCCCCCTCCTTCTCTGTGTGTGCCTTCCTCGTCCTGCTCTGCCTGGCCCCTCCTGTCCCCGTGTCCCCTCCTGTCCCCGTGTCCCCCCATCCCCACATCCCCCCTATGTCCCCTCCTGTCCTCGTGTCCCCCGTGTCCCCTCCTGTCCCCTCCACCTGTCCTTGTGTCCCCCCTGTGCCTGAACCTGTGTCCATCCCCCTGAACCTGCATGTGCCTGTGTCCTTCTGTCTGTCCCCATGTCCCCCACCTGTCCTCATGTCCTCTGTGTCCTCATGTCCCCCTGTATCCCCTTCTGTCCCTCTGTCTCCTCCGTGTCTGCCCTGTTCCCCTGTGTCCCCACATCCCCCCTGTCCCCGTGTCCCCCATCCTCCTGTCCCTGTGTCCCCATGTCCCCTGCTGTTCCCCCGTCCCTCTATCCCCCATCCCCCTGTGTCCCACCGTGTCCCCCCTGTGCTCCCCAGGAGGCTGCAGAGGGGCAGCGCCACTCGGAGCCCCCTGATCCCTGTGACACCTGTGTCCCCTCTAATCCCTGTGACCCCCCTGTGCCCCCCATGCCCCCTGTGTCCCCCTGTGCCCCCCATGTCCCCTGTGTCACCGTGTCCCCTGTGTCCCCAGGAGGCGGCCGAGGGGCTGCGGCGCTGTGTCCGGGGGCAGCAGCAGCGCTGAGAGCCCCTGATCCCTGTCACACCCCTGTGCCCCCTGTGTCACCCTGTGCCCCCCATCCCCTGTGTCACCCTGTGTCACTCTGTGTCACTCTCTGTCCCCAGGAGGCGGCCGAGGGGCTGCGGCGCTGCGTGCGGGGGCAGCAGCAGCGCTCGGAGCCCCATGTCCCCGTGTCCCCTGTGTCACTCTGTGCCCCCCCATGCCCCCCTGTCCCACCATGTCCCCTGTGTCACCGTGTCCCCTGTGTCCCCAGGAGGCGGCCGAGGGGCTGCGGCGCTGCGTGCGGGGGCAGCAGCAGCGCTCGGAGCCCCCCGAGGAGCTGCGGCGCCGGGCCCTGGCGGACCCCGAGGTGCAGCAGATCATGGGGGACCCGGCCATGAGGCTCATCCTGGAGCAGATGCAGAAGGACCCGCAGGCCCTGAGCGAGTCAGTGACACCGGGGGGGGGACACCGGGGGGACACCGGGGGTCCCCAGGGCGAGGGGGGGAGGCACTGAGGGTCCCCAGGGCTGGGGGGGGGGGAGCACTGGGGGTCCCCGGGGGNNNCCCGCAGGCCCTGAGCGAGTCAGTGACACCGGGGGGGGACACCGGGGGTCCCCAGGGCGGGGGGGGACACTGAGGGTCCCCAGGGCGAGGGGGGGTGGCACTGAGGGTCCCCAGGGCTGGGGGGGGGGTAGCACTGAGGGTCCCCGAGGTGCTGAGGGTCCCCAAGAGTCCCTGAGGCACTGGGAGTGGGTGGCACTGAGGGTCCCTGAGGCACTGGGGAGTGGCACTGAGGGTCCCCAGGGCGGAGGGGACACCGAGGGTCCCCAGGGCAGGGGAATGGCACTGAGGGTCCCCAGAGCTGGGGGGGGACACTGAGGGTCCCTGAGGTGCTGGGGAGTGGCACTGAGGGTCCCCAGGGCGGAGGGGACACCGAGGGTCCCCAGGGCAGGGGAATGGCACTGAGGGTCCCCAGGGCTGGGGGGGGACACTGAGGGTCCCCAAGGGTCCCCAGGGCAGGGGGGGGTGGCACTGAGGGTCCCCAAGGAAGGAGGGGGTGGCATTGAAGGTCCCCGAGAATCCCTGAGGCAGTGGGGGTGGCACTGAGGGTCCTCAGTGTCCCCAGCTGTCCCCAAAGTGTCCCCAAACCATCCCAGGGGTGTTCCTGACTGTCCCCATCTCTCCTAGAATGTCCCCAAGATGTCCCCAACCTGTCCCAGGGTGTCCCCAGCTGTCCCCAGCGTGTCCCCAAACCATCCCAGGGGTGTTCCTGACTGTCCCCATCTGTCCTAGAATGTCCCCAAGATGTCCCCAACCTGTCCCAGAGTGTCCCCAGCTGTCCCAGGTTGTCCCCAAGATGTCCCCAACTGTCCGCACAGCGTCCCAGGCAATGCCCAGGGTGGCACTGAGCCCACCCAGCGCCCTCAGTGGGGCAGGGGCGGTGTCCCCAGGGTGTCCCCGAGGTGTCCCCCCCCCCGCTGTCCCCCCCTGACCCCCGCTGTCCCCGCTGTCCCCTCAGGCCGGGTGACCAAGACCAAGGACGGCCACGAGGTCAGGACGTGCAAAGTGGCCGACAAGACCGGCAGCATCAACATCTCCGTGTGGGACGATGTGGGCAACCTCATCCAGCCTGGGGACATCATCCGCCTCACCAAGGGGTACTGGGGACCCCCGGGGACCCCAGTCACCCCCAGTGGGCATTTTAGGGGGGGGTTTGAGGGGATTTGGGGCATTTTTGGGGGGGGCTTGGGGCATTTTGGGGGGGTTTGGGGGGGATTTGGGGTCCCACTGCATGAGAGCTCCTCCCACGAGGACAGAGTGGGACCCCCGTGGGTGGGATTGGGGGGAGGCTGAGACCCCTCCCACAAAGTTTTGGGGGGGTCCAAACTCCTCCCACAAGGATTTGGGGGGCTCCAAACATTTCCCATAAGAATTTGGGGTGGGGGTGGGGTCTGAGCCCCTCAAATGAGGATTTGGGGGGGGTCCAAGCCCCTCCCACAAAAACCTTGGGTTGTCTGAGACCCCTCCCACAAAGATTTGGGGGTATCCAAACCCCTCCCACAAATATTTGGGTGCTCTGAGCTCCTCCCACGAGGATTTGGGGGTATCCAAACCCCTCCCACAAATATTTGGGTGCTCTGAGCTCCTCCCACGAGGATTTTTGGGGGTCCAAGCCCCCCCCCCACGAGGATTTGGGGGTCCAAGCCCCCTCCCACAAATATTTGAGGACTCCACGCCCCCTCCCACGAAGATTTTTGGGGGTCCTCGCCCCCCCCCCCCCAGGCTTTTTGGGGGGGCAAGCCCCCCCCCCCCACACAGGGACAGCAGCCGGGGGGGGGCTCAGGGGTCGTACCCCCCCTCCATGAGGCGCTGCAGCTCGCGGGGGTCGCGGGGGGCCCCCCCCAGGGCCAGGTCCCCCCCCAGGAACTGGTGCAGGACGCGGGGGGGCGCCGAGAGCACGCGCAGCCCCAGCGTGACGTCACCGCTGAGCCACAGCCGCACCTGGGGGGCAGCGGGCTGAGACCCCTCCCCAAAATACCGGAGGGGCTGAGACCCCTCCCCAAAATACCGGAGGGGCTGAAACTCCAAAACCCCTG